TATTATTATATACACAGTAAGTTCTGGAGATTTGTCTAACGCACTGAGGAACTATTTCAAATGTATTTTATATGTTGAGCTAAATCACTTCCAAAACACATCTGAATGAATAATCATGAGTTTCTTATCTACCCAAAAGCAAAGGCAAAACGATCAAAAGTGTGAAAATCACTAACCATTGAGCCAGTGGTGCTCCGAAATATCAGTTCTGATGTAATGGTGGTCGTGAGTAGGCCCAAGGGACCGCGTGAATGCAGTATCCTTGCCAAGGAAATCAGAAGCTGTTCCAGAGTAGAGGTACTCATCTACAAGGGAGAAACGAATACTCAGGACTTCTAAGAGTTCGCCAGCAGACACTACTGACAATAGACTAATTTCACAGCATGAAACCAATGATGTCTATTGCTTAGCATCAGAAATATATTGTTTCATAAATTTCCCCTTCAGATTCTGAAAAATCTGCTTAGTTGAAGAAAAGATAACTCAGTGAACTTTGGTAAGCTGATGCTAACTACTACTTGAATATAAAAAAGGCCAATGTCTTCCGAATTAATTGCACATGCATTTAGCTTCTGTTATGAATAAGTTCCTCTTCTTTCCCTTCTCCCCACAAATAATTCAAGGACATATCATAATTAGGAGTCTCTCTTTGTAATAACACAAAAAAAATATTTAGAAAGTAAACGCCATAATGAGGAATGAATTGTGTAATTAGTATTTACTTAACCGACACAACCTCAGTGACCACAACTTTTCTTTGCCTAACCTCTGCTGAAAGGGAGCTTTCAGCACTGAAGTCATACTTTGTAATTATAACATGTTGCATTCCTTGTAGCTAATCATGCCTCTAATAGTTCTGATAAACAGGCATTTCTGAAAAAGGAAAGATGTTGCCATTACTGCATACCAAACTTCTCTATCCTGTTATTTATGTAAAGTGAATATCCATGTTTACCAGAGACAGAAGGAGAGAGAGAGAAGAGGAGAAAGGAGGTGAGAGAGGTAGAAAGAGGTGGAGAAGGGGGAGGAGGGAGGAAAGAAATGAGGAAGAAGGGAAAGGGGAGGAGAGGAAGATGGGGGGGAGGAGAGGAAGAAAGGATAGAAGGGAGAGGAGGGGGGAGAAAAGGATGGGGGTTGGAAAAGAGGGGAATGGTGGTCCATGTTCCCTAATGCTGGTTAGCATGTAGTGGGAGAGCGGCCTGAGGCAGGAAGAATACGGTCCCTACAATAGCATGCATTACCCCTTTGAGAGCTAAGCCTCTGTTTCAAGAAATCTTTATATTCAACTACTTGGGGTTACACTTAATAGACTAAAATTTAAAAAACAGCTAATCTCTACAGAGCATTTAGATTTTTTAAATGCCTAAATAGAAGAACAACTACAGACACTGTTTTATCACTAAAGTTCAATTTTCCTCAGAAACATATCTTGAAAATTCTGCCTTTGCATAAGTGATTCAGATACTTTCAAAATCCTCCGATTACATCCACTGAAATAAGACTTTTCCTGAACTATCTGAGACAACCAACCTAAATACTCATGACAATAGTCGACTTTCAAAAGGGGGAAACACACACACATACATATAAAAGAGAGAAACCCCCCCCCCAAAAAAGGAGAGAAATCCAGTTATGTAAAGTAAATGTAGACATGGTACTGATTCCATCTCTTAAGTCTATATAGTGGAAGGCAGTATTTCATTGTGGAGCAAGTTTTAAAAAGTAGAAGAATAACAATAACAACATCAATAAAGACATTATGAAAAAAGTTTGGTAAGAATAAAGGAAACACACCATCAATTTGAAACATAAAACTACAAATATTCAAACATTTTGCCAGAAAAAATGGTGTATTTCAACATAAAAGTTGGATCTGTGTATCCAGGCTTTAAAACTGTCTTCTTTGTATTTAAATTACTCAGGGGTTCCTACGAGGGGTCACCAACACCTACAATCTATTGTTTTTTATTAAGGGTGTGTCAACCCCACTTGACAGATCAGAATCACAAATCATCAATCTCATTTTCTGAGGATAATGACTGAACATCAGTCACATAATTTTCAAAAAACACACACACTTTCACTTCAAAGGAAGAGCATTAGTTCTTGCTAAGTGAAAATTAAAATGTCATGGGGCATCACTCTGATAGTCTATTCAAACATCTGATGGACAAGTTAAATAAAAAGAGACTGAAGTCATGAACCAAACCAAGACAAAAGGAGTCCTTATAATGGTTGAAATTCAGAGGTCATGCCGACATTCCTCAGAAAAGACTTCAGACCACACAGCACTGCCTTCTTTAAACAGGACGGTCCTCCCATAAGAGAATTTAAGATGTATACAAAGCAAGAGAAGACTGAATGTGCCAGCAAAAATCTCACATTGCCATTAATGTAATCAGGTTATGGTGAAACTGGGGTGAGAGGTGTTATACCATTCTTTTATCTGCATTCTACAGTTTGATTTATTTGTTTTATTCATTTATCCACTTACGTCTTATTATTAATCCTCCCACTCACATCTTCAACATATTTTGTAACATATTATGTTCAAGGAATTGCTCAATTTAACTGCCATAGTGAACCAAATGGGGCATCGCTAAATATAAGAAAATCTGGGACAGCTACGTGTAGAATTATAGCACAATTGCGTGTGTGTCATTTGTATTGAAAAGAATTCAACCTGAAGTTCATTTAAAATGTAACTGTGCTGACGTTAGGGATTACTGGAGCCTCACTTTATGGATAAGGAGCTAAGTATAGAGAGACATGACACTAAAAAACTACAACCAAACAGCCAGTGGACAATTAATGCAAAATAATCTTTAACTCATTGAGAAAATGTGGTTGAACCTACACACACCTTTTTAGAAAAACACCTAAAAGCTACAACTATCCATCACGGATCTTACCTGTCATTACTGAAGCAAAAGGATGCAGAGGATCAAAAGGACATTTCAGTCTGCCAGACTCCAAATGATGTGTGTCTAGTTTGAACATAACTTCCTGTTATGAGAAATATTAACACAAGTGAGATTTTTTTAAAAAATATCCGAATCAGCAAGAACGTAGGAGATAAGAACGAAATTCTAATTCATTAATTCAACAAAAACTGAGCATATAGCACGCATATCATGCTGTGCTTCTTAACTCTTCCACAAATATTATTTCTGGCAAGACTCAGTTCCCATGTTTTGGTCTCCATTTGCCCAAAGTAATGATGATAATGATGAATGAATTTTTCAGCCGGAAGTAGCAATATCCTCATCGATTCATTTAGCCTGGACCACTATCATAATCGAAATCACCATCAAACACTCCTATTTCTTAAGCCTAATAACTAATTTACTGAGCCTAATAAGCCAAGTTCCTCCTCTAAGGAATAAATTTACTATAATAATTATACTTTCATAACTATTATGGTCTATCTACCTAAGCATCTACAACTATACCAAATTACTTAAGCTTCGTGATATTTTGTAATTTTAGTGACTTAAAAGCGTTGTAAGGCAGGCAGTTCATTTTCAGAGCTGTTGATACATGTGGGCAAAAAAAATCCTGTTGTAGTATTTTCACTATTACGAAAACACTATGCACATTAAAGCCACATAGTTATTTTGGCTGAAACATCTATTTTTATAATAGTGGCCACAGACAGAATGGCATTGGCAGACTTTTAACATTCAGGGAAAAAAAACATCTTAAGTTGAACTTTCCAAGAAAAATATGAATGTATAATGAATATGGCCCCATGAGCTTGAGTGTTTCATAACAATGACAACGCTGCCATCCAGCAAAAGACTGATGACTCAGGCTGCAAATGTACTAGTTAGAGAAATTCAGCATTTCAGATATTCTCTCTAGATGGCATATCTACAGTTATATCAGAGCACACATGCAATTAAAAGGGATCATTCAGTGCCACTTACCTAGAAAGCAAGTAAAGAAGCAAAAGGGATAGAGGAAATATTTGGATTATTATTATTGTATGATGTGTCATTTCAGATCTTTTTCTTATTAACAGGATCAACAGTAATTACCGCCTTATTAAAAACTAGTAATACCAATTTAAATAGCATGATTAACATTTGCCATTTTATAGTTTTAAGTAAATACACTTTAATACTAAGAGTAATGGTACTTAACAACTAATACATACTAACCATGGGCCAGGAACTTGAGGTACACTGTCTCATTGAATCTTCACCACTAACCTAAAGAGGTAGCTACTTTAATTCCAGCTTTACAAGAGGAATATTGAGCATAAAAGGGGGTAAGTATCTCGTTCAGCATCACACAGTGAATAAGAGGCAAAGCAGGAGCTTGAACTCAGGGCTGTCTCCCAAGTTCATGTTCTTAACTAATCTAGTCTCAGGATTTCAAACTCATGGATTTAGAAATGTGTTGAAATTAATGTATAGACTCACCATGACCATGTAACATGATCAAGCCCAAGTGTGTTTAGTTAGAACAGTTCAGCTAATGACAAGTTGTGATAGTGGCGCCTAGGCATGAAAAAAGTCCAGTGAGAACACATTTAGGGCATGTTTCCCAACTGTGGATGGGGCTAGAGATATGTCAGGAAAAAACACCTACAGATCACGGCTCTTAAGAATGTTTAAATATTAAGGGCACATTATTCGCCACAGGTCAAACAGAACTGTTGACTCTAAAGCCTATAATGGGACGTTGTAAAGGGAAAAAGTAAACTGAATCCTGGTGTGCCAGAAGATTATAGTGAAAAGCTAAAAAAGAAAAACCAAGAAAACATCTGGGAGAATGTCATAGTTAATACAAAGTCCTAGATAAACCCTTATAATTGTACAGACTTCTGTTGTCAAAACGCAGCATTTCATTAAATTCTCAAGATAAGCCCATAGAATTGGTATTTGAGGAGGCTAAGGACAAGGTCTCCCTTATAATCTCCTGGAGAAAGGAGACAGCAGGAAAGCAAGTTTCCTTGAGCCAGAGTCAAGGATACCAACAGGAAAATGATGTAAAAAAATAATGGCTGATTAAATGGACTTCCTGAGATAAACTGAATGACATGACACTTTTTTTGAGACAACTTCAATTTTATAAGATTTTCCCCATTAAATTCCTTAAGCCTAATTAATCATGCAAAAAAGTACCTGTCTAAACTGCACACAGAGAAACACTGTTGAAGTAAAGACATAAGAAGATAAGAATAGGAAATGTTTAACTATCACATTAGGAAAAATTATTATTAATATTATTAATACTATTAATATTTAAATATGAGATTTGCAGCAGAAGAGAGATTCCAGAGGAAAGAACACACTTCCAATCTAATTATTAAACAACTATCAGGCACCCCCAGTATTGCAGAGTAGATACATAGGTAGATAAATAGATAGATAGATAGAGACTGCAGACACTATTCTGAAATAAAGTTTATATACATACTTTTGAAATACTTGTCTCTGCCTTTCTATGTTCTTGTTGCCTAATACAGCTGCGAATTAAGTGACTGGAATAGAGCAAGGGCTATACCAAAGCCTATGCACAATCATTTTCTCATTTTATTCTTAAAATAACCCTGAGTTACTATTATTATTGTCATCATTTTGCTGAATAAACAGAAGCTTAGAGAGTTTATGCAGAAGACTGTGGAGCCATGGTAAATGATCCGAGCCATAATTCAAACTCTGGCTCCTCATGTTTAGCTCTTAGTTGTTGTCAACAGCCCTGACTTCTATCCTGAAATCCGGATCCAACCGCCCACTTGGTATGACCTACGGAACATTTCTCAAATGCGGAATGTACAAAACTAACTCACGATTTCCCCCACAAATCTGTTACTCTTCTCATCTCAATAAATAACACCCCTCTCCAAATCACTGCCAAAGATAGAAATCTGGGATTTATTTTAGCTGTTTCCTCTTTCTTCCCGTTGCCTCAGGCACACAAAACAGTGGTCCCCAGGAAGAGGGCTTCGCACACTTCTCTCCTCCATCCCTGTTATCTGTTGCTCTTCCCTGTTCCCAGCCACCTGAGAAGCAATCTTATCTATTTGAAGATGGAAGTGCCTTCCCTCTGAATGGACAGTGAATCCTGGGACTAATAATCCATTTTAGAAGAGAACGATCTTCAAGCAGGGCTGCCATACAATTACCTATACTCCTGACTAGTGGAAAACTCACAAGGCTCAATATCCCTGTTCACTCGTAATTCTCTTATTCACAGAACTTGTAAATCTGACTGCCCCTGGGCTTTTTGACAGTCTCAAGCTAAGTAATTAGCTCCTTCTATATTCCCTTTCAGCATTTGTGACTTTTAGGAGTTAATGAACACTATTTGCATCCCTCAGCAGGTTGTGAGTTTGGCCTTTAGCCCCAGGCCTCAAAACACATCCAAGATGTGGGGCTATCTCATGTAATTGCAGCCTATGCTATAAGCCACTGTTATATATTACCCTTCATCAAAGCTAGGCAAGAGAACATTACACTGGCAACAAAGTATGATGGATTCAAGTTGCCAAGTCTCCTAGTGGTTCAGAGGTTTAACTATCAGGGTTGCTTTACTTTCAAACCATTGAGTCTGGGCTGGTTAGACAAGTTGGTTAGAGAGAAAAATTTATCCAGCCACAGTTGTGGGTTTGATCTCTGCTTGAATCAGTTAAATCAGTGTAAAGAAACCTGTACTATGAGCCCAGACTTTACTTTCAAACACGCAGCCAATTACCCTGCAAATATGTGTGGTTATTCACAAGAAGTATATACATAAACATAAGGATGACAGTGTAACCCATCAACCCACACAAAGGAATGATTTAGAGTACATATTCTAAAGCTCAGTTGGGCATGCTTGCTCTAGCGATAGACTACTTTGGTTCAATTCCTTGCTAGACCATTTATTAGTTGGGTGACTTAGGCATGTTATTTCATTCTACTGAGACTCAGTTTTTACTAACTTGCAAACTGGAAGTTATTAAGGTACCAACTTCATTAACAGTGTTGTGAAATTACAAAAACAATCCATGTAAAGTGCCTGGCACAGTCCATGACACAAAGAAAGTGCTCTAACGTGTTAGTTGTTGATTAAATTATTGTAATCTGCATGTTTCTCATTTATTGAAATGCTCATTGATTGCTGGAATACACTACTCCTAATTAATACATCCCACACTTCCACTATGTCACTTTGGTCTGGCAGAAATAATAAGTCCAGTGTGATAACAACTATCCATACAATTTTAAGAAAATCATTAAAATTATCTGTATTTAGTGTCTACTATTGTAAACATAAGTAACAGGTCAAATTTGTTGGATGGGAAAAATTAAATTATTTCTAAGATATCATTCCGTTGCGAGGTCTTATGGGAAATAAATTTTTACCAACAGCAACATACTAAATAGATTTAGTTATAAAGGCAACTCGAGAAAATAAAGCTGTACATAGAGCCTAGAAAACAAGCACTTTCAACACTGTATACCATTTATTTTAATCATATCACTAAAAAAGCTTTTAATAGAAGAAATTTTTATTAGATGGATAAAGTGTACAATCAAAATGGCAATCCATAAAGTGGTTTGGAATATAAGTTCTTATTCAGTTCATACAGAATACGATTCAATTTTTATATTCAAGTCTAACTATTTTATGTCATAGGCATTAGGTAACAAGTTATTATAATTGTTTTTGTGCTATTTCATTATATTTACCTCCTTGTAGATTCCAAGATCAATATATCCACATATTGGATGAAATGCTCCAGTTCCACACACATAAACATGAGTTTTGTTATAGGGTTGAAGTACCCGGATGAAATTTGCACATTCTGTCTATTGGGCATAAAAAAATAAAAGCATTAGCATACAATTCAGGTATTTGAAAGATTATCATTCATACCACCTGTTTCCCAAGTAGATTAATTATCAAAAATAAGAACTAAAATAAAAAAGACTTATGAGAAATGTTTAACACCTGACTTAGCAAAGGAGGCAAAACAAATTAGAAACTATGGCTTTAATGAGTGACTGAAGTTTTTTTGAATAAGGTTTTGAACTAATCACGGTGCTAGAATGCACATCTCTCTAATGGGACTCAATGGGGCCTAGAGAATGAACATAATGTGAATGAGGTATCCATACTTTCTTTCAAGGATTTCCTACAGAACCAAACCCACCATGCTCTAATGTTCCCACATTGTCTATCCCATATAGAACCTACCATGTGCAACTTCAACTGTCTTAGCTACGCTAAACAAAACACTCAACACATATGTGTCTTCCTATATATTATCCCGTTCTTATTTTCCAGAATTGCCTACCACTTTATTTCCATTTATTTTCAATGTTACAGAGCCTTTAAGGCTTACCTTAATTCCTGCTTATTTCAAGAATCTCTTCTGTTTTTTCCATAAATATTTTTTTACACCAAGTCAAAATTTTAAGAGACATATTTCTGCCTCTTTTGCAAATGTTTAGGCCTAAAAATATTTCTTTCCAATGTATACCTTTATAACTTAATTATTTTCTATCCCCCAATTACTTGTAAATAGTGACTCAATTTTTCAGAGTAGTCATTCTTGTTATTATATATTATTTTCAATTCATCTTCTGTAAGTCATCCCTTCTCTTTACATAATTAATGGCAACAATTTGTTAACGATGACTTCATGATTCCTGGGCCCAAAGACTCCTGAGAAAACACTGGGCAGTAGTCTACTTTTATTCTAGATCAACTCTACCCAGGAGGTGGGCAGGTGTTTACTAAGGAGGTTGGAAATCTACGAAACGACTGAGATTCAGAGAAAAAGTCCATTTTCTCTCTGCCTGAGTGGCCACGGGTCCTTCACCTGTCAGGTCACTGTTGTTGTTAGGGTCGTTAGGAGGAGGGTATTAAAAAATAAAAAAGATAATGACCTAACTGGTAGGATGATTTTTAAAATTAAGTAAAATTTTTAAAAGGCAGACAACAACTTAGCTGATAGGATTATGATTGTTATGTGGACTAAATTAAAGAATATAACATTTAATAATTGTTTATCACTTACTCTGATTTTGATCTATACAGAATAATCAATATCCCAGTGGCTGTTCTGATTTTAGAATGAATAGCTATGTCTCCATATCTGTGGTACAGAGTTTCTAGTACCTAGTTCTTCCTCTGTCCAGCTAGCCTGGCAATCTTATGTCTCAAGAATTTGTAGATCCCAGTGAATAAAATCTGCACATTCTACTACAGAAAAATGTTATAAAGAACTAACTTATTGAGTTTTCTGCTCTCTGCTTCCTTATAAACAAAGAAGTTGCTTAAGACTATAGGAAAGGACAGTTCCAATCCCTCAGTTAACCACGCAAGGGAAGGATGTTTCTTTATCAGGTAGGAAGAGTGGGCACTTTGTAACAGCAGAAGGGCCACTGCATATGGTTACACAGGTTGTATGCTGTGAAAAAAGTCCTATCTGAGGAAGTGCAAATCACACTGCAGACATCTTTGTTACCTTGAATATTTTCATATGTTTAGTATATGGTCTCATATAATTATTATATGTAGCCTCCTAAGAAAGAAAAATTTTATATTCATTAAGACAATTTTCTGTCAGATAATCTTACTTAACAAAATCATATTCTGTGTTTTCCACCCTTCCATCAAGGTGTTTGATGAACAGAATTTATTCTCTATTGACACAAAGGCACCACAGAGAACTAGCTTCATGTTCTTTTACATCATGCTAGACAATCGCAAATGAAAACCTAATTCAGAGAGTAAATATGCCCTACTAATGGTTTTGAACGAATGACACAGTAATATGAGATAAGCCAAGGCAAAAAAAGGAGGAAAAATATATGCAATCAGCAGATAAATTGCAATGATGGCTTCCCTGCTAGGGTAAGAGATTTTAATATTCTCTAGCTTTCATTTTGCTCACTCATGCTCACTGAAGGGACTTTTATTTATTGGTCTTTTCCCCATGAAGAGATTTATGCAGGGTGAAATCTACACATGGAACAGTACACAGGGAGGGCAAGAGTAGAGTTATATGCCTGGAGTAAGGTGGGATTCACTCACTGCCAGTGATTTCACCATTTTTTCAAAAGCTCAGTGTTACCAAAGAATCATAGAAGTTAGAGGGTAATTGTTATGGAGTGAATATCTGTGTCCTCCCAAAATGCATGGGTTGAAACCCTAAACCTCCCAGGGTGATGGTATTAGGAGGTGAGGCCTTTAGGAGGTAATTAGCTTTAGGAGAGGTTTGGAGAGTGAGATCCTCATGATAGGATTAGTGCCTTTCTAAGAAGAGACCAGGGCACTCGCTCTCACTCTCTCTGCCCTGTGCAGATATCACAGGAAGATAGCCACCTGCAAGCCAAGAAGAGAATTTTCACCAAAGACCAAGTCGGCCTGCACTTTGACCTTGGATTTCCCAGCCTTCAGAACTGTGAGAAATAAATATCTGCTGTTTAAGCCGCCTAGTTTATGGCATTTTGTTATGGTAGCCCAAGCCGAGTAACACAGTAATCTTACAAGACTGTGAAATCAATATCTGTATAAAGAAATAAAACAACTGCCTTTCCAGATTATAAATTATAAAGTCAGAAAGACTAGGGACTGTGAGAGACACAGCACTGTTTAAAAAGGCAAATGAGGCCCAGAGTGAAGTTTTACACACATAGGAGATATAATTTGAGTGATGATAAAGAAAAAGCTCTGAATCACACCTAAAACATTTCCCATCCTTTTAACTTTCCTGGGAGTTACTTTATTAAAATGCAGCCAGCCCCGGAAAGTAACCTATTATGCTAGTTTTTACTTTGGTGAGATGTCACCAAGGATGTATTTCTGAAATTCCTCTCTTCTCTCAGGTTGGGCTGCCATGGAATAGAACCATGTATCCTGAGTTATCTGACACAGTTTACAAAAAAAGTCAGTTCTGCTCAAAGTTTTCTGTGGTGAAGTTGATGGAGGGCAGTTCTCTGGGAAGCCTGGAGGCAATGACAGGGCAGTGAGGGGAAGAAACCGGGGACAGAGATTCTAAAAGAGAAGGTCTCATTTTAAATTTTGCCTGGGGTGGACATTTCAGCCAAACACTGGAAGCAAAGCAAAAGCCTTTACAATGATTTCTCTTTTAATTTATAAAGGTTCCAAGATTTGCTTCAACAGCATGAGCAATAATTAACTTGATTTAATTCACTTAGTGACCGGCATGGCTATTAATGGTGGGGTAATTCTGTGAGGCATAAAGAAAGATAAATTCGAGAAGCAGCTGTTTTAACTTTCCCTGAAAGCTGGCTAATTTGTCAGCTATTGCCCACAATGGCAAGGGCTGGGGCATGACACCAAACAATTCAATTCATCCAGTAACGTACTCAACCTGGGAAAAGAACTGAATTTCTCCTTCCTTCCGCACGCTTCCCACCTCCCTAACTCTCCACTGGAAGAAAGAGAGAGAGAACTAAAAACAAGTATCAACTTTCTACTTCTCTCAAGTAAGATTATTTATTTCAATTTTTACCTCTCGTCTACATCCTTACATATATCTAAAGAGATATACAATTAAATAAATAAAACAAATATGAAACAATACTTAGAGAAAAGACAAGTAAATATTAGTTTATATATCAACACTTAGAATTTTTGTTTCCCCCTAATACCTAGAAAAATATTAGCAAAACAGAACTACTTGTAATTCTCTAATGTTACATATAGTCCAGTTAAATCCAATACAGCTTTATATGTATTTCTGATAACTGACTTATAATCACTAATTTTAATTTATTTAGGTTATATATGAATAGACACTTATGATTAAGAATGTGGTCTGGGCTTCTCTGGTGGCGCAGTAGTTGAGAGTCCGCCTGCCGATACAGGGGACACGGGTTCCAGCCCTGGTCCGGGAAGATCCCACATGCCGCGGAGCGGCTGGGCCCCTGAGCCACAACTGGTAAGCCTGTGCGTCCGGAGCCTGTGCTCCGCAACGGGGGAGGCCGCGATAGTGAGAGGCCCGCGCACCGCGATGAAGAGTGGCCTCCGCTCGCCACAACTAGAGAAAGCCCTCACGCAGAAAGACCCAACACAGCAAAAATTAATTAATTAATTAATAAACTCCTACCCCCAACATCTAAAAAAAAGAAAAGGATTGATAGATTAAAAAAAAAAAAAGAATGTGGCCTGTTTTGGTGTTTAGCATATTTTGCAGAATATTGTGATCCTCAAATGTTTTGTGATCATTCGCCACATGCCTATCATTGTGCTACATCTTACGTTTGTCTAGCAGACTTCTCATAGAGTTCAGTCTGCAAAGATATCTGTTTAGGTCTTACAATGTTGAAAATATTTTAATAAGTTGTCAATGCTTCAAAATAAGTATATGAAAATCCCAATATCCCATTTCTCTCTTAAAAATGAAATCTCACAGGGGAGGATTTCTACAGAGCAAAACCAGTTGAGGTAGAAGGGCAAAGAAAAACATTTTAAAGGAAAAATATTGAGAGATATGCCTATAAAAATCTATATATCAAGTAGGATAACTAGGAAAGAATATTTTTTATGTGAGTGGATCAGAAAGTAATAATATATGAATATAAATCCTAATTTTCAACTACATAAAATATTTAGCATTTATAGTAATTAAAGAATGTCAAGCTTGGGCTTCCCTGGTGGCGCAGTGGTTGAGAGTCTGCCTGCCGATGCAGGGGACATGGGTTCATGCCCCAGTCCCAGAAGATCCCACATGCCGCGGAGCGGCTGCGCCCGTGAGCCATGGCCGCTGGGCCTGCGCGTCCAGAGCCTGTGCTCCGCAACAGGAGAGGCCACAACAGTGAGAGGCCCGCGTACCGAAAAAAAAAAAAAAAAGAATGTCAAGCTAAAACAACAAAAATAATTTTCTTTTTGTTGGCAAAAATTAAATATATTTATTTCATTCATTAATGTATTAGTATTAAACATTAACTATATGTTGTATCCAACATTAGCAAGGGTATGGGGAAATATACCCTCTTAAGAGCATGCACTGCTGGATAAAGCATAAGAAGCATAAACTTTCTGGAGGGCCATTTTACAATGTATATAAAAGATTTTATATCCTTTGACCAGTAATTGTACTCAATAACCTAAGATGTTCACAGTATTTATATATAAGGCTTTTCATGTGCAGCATCATTCACAATAGTAAAAACTGGATATCTACCAAAACTCTAACAATAGGGGATTGATGAAATAATATATAAAGGAATGCAGTGCAGCTATTAAAAGTAGTGTTATAAAAAAGGAATTTAATGACATGGGAAAATGCTCATGGCAGTCTGCAAAGTGAAAAAAAAATGTTTTAAGGGACTATGTATACAATGATTTCATTCTGAAAAATAGTAAATAGATAAGATAGAAGAATAAACATCAAAATGTCACCAGCTATCTCTGGGTAATGTTCATGGGTGAAGAACTATTTACAGATGAATTCTATATAATTTGCAAACTTTCTACAATGAACACTTTGTTTTACTTTAGATGTTCTTAAAAAAGAAAAAAGAAAAAAGAATGTAATCAGAAAACTTTAGAGATGGAAGACCCTTTAACCCTATGTAATGTCTCCATTGACAAGGTTGTGCGCCTCTACAGTTAAGCCGACGACTCATGCTGCCCACACCCCATGCATTCTTTTGCCTGGACTGAGCAGTTTACCCCACTCTTTTATAGCAGGACCAGACATTTCTTTAGTGACTTTCTTTTGAATAATATTTGAAGCAGACACAAAATGCAACCAAATAGCTTCCTGTCACCTCTTCCCTTCCTTGGATTAAACTGGGGACTGTGCTCAAGAAAGTGGAATAGCTCTCTTTTGTTTCCTCTCCTTCCACTCCCTTCCCACGCCAATGAGCTAACTTTCATTATGGTAAATAATTCACTATTTTTCAGTTATATAGTACCTTTGTGTAAAGGGACAGTCTTTCCAAACACTTGTTAATTCAAAACACACTCTTGGGAAGTAGGTAAAAATTACTAGAGAGAAGGGAGGAGAGAGGGTAATGCCAAAGGCAATAAAAGATGTTAATAAAACCACACACTTGCCTCAGTTTTCTGTTGGCCAAAATCTATGTAATGCTGTAAAATGAGGATCTGCATTATGGTTATCGTGAAGAGAGAAATGATTTGAGGGATACAGTTTGCAGACCTTACACATAGAACTCAGACCTTGATGTGTAGATTATAGTGTATTATAAGAGCATAGATGGTGGGGCAAGCCTTCTGGATTCAATTCAATATTTACTAGGTATGTAATATTGGGCAAGTCATTTAAACGTTCTGGCCTCAGTCTTCTCATCTGGAAAATGAGGAATAAAAATAAAATCTAACATACCGTATTGTAAGGATTAAACGAGATTATAGGTATAAAGCTTTGAAAGCAGTTCCTGGAACATGGTAAGTGCTATAAAAATGTTAGCTATTCTTAGTAACTCTAAAATACAGTATTATTTTAAAGGGGCAAATTGAAAAGAAGGAAACAAAGACTTGCATTACACCTACATAATTCAACAGCAAACTTTATAGACTTCAGTAAAAAGAGAGAAGCTCCCTAAATCTCTAATCCTAGGTTAACAGTGTACTTAAAGTACACAGTGTACTTTAAAGCGTACTTAAAGTCAGAGGTGACTACAAGCTCAAATACAATTGAATTGGAAGAATAGGTTCCATATACTGGGTCATATGTACTCTCTAGGATACCACCTTCAAGAAAGTTTATCACCCTTTGTTTTAGCTTGATAAGAGGGGCAACCGAGTTACTCTACAACTGGAATTAGTGAACATACTGAAATGAGAAAACTGTCACAATTAAAACTTCACTGATTAACCTTGAGTGCTTATCCTTCACCCGTTCCATGGGAAAATTGACACTACTCTGTTGGAGTAAATTTAAAACACCCCTTTCCTACTTGCCTCCTTATCCTACACTCAATACTGATGAAACACAAAAGTGTTCACACTGTTTATGACATGCTTCTACTGTTATGCAACAAAGTAAATTTGAAAAATCACCACCAAAGCATCTTTCTTTCCCATGAGTTCAAAAAAGTACTGTTGCTTTTGCAGACTGGGGCACCTGCTCACAGGGCATCTGACATTGAACAGGGTGGAGAGATTAGAGACATAAAAGGAAGAATATATTCTATATTAGTTTACACTCTTTCATTTCTAGCAAAATAAATGTAAAAACTTTTTCCTGTTGCATTTGAAGCACACACTCTCTGATATATTTCTGCTAACATAAATGTGCCCCAAAAGTCACATTTAACACTAACTGAATACAGAATGAGGCATAACCAAAAGTTTTTTTCTTTTACTTTGTTTTGATTATTTTGTTTTGCAGGACAGTCATCCTTCAGTATCCTCGGTGGATTGGTTCCAGGACCTTGACATTTATCAAAATCTGAGGATGCTCAAGTCCCTTATATAAAATGGCAAACACACAGCCTCCCATATACTTTATCTCTAGATTACTTATAATACTTAATACAATGTAAATGCTATGTAGACAATTGTAAATACAATGTAAACACTATGTCAATAGTTGCCAGTAAGCAATAAATTCAAGTTTGCTTTTTGAACTTTCTGGAATTTTTGGAATATTTGTGATGCACGGTTGGTTGAATTTATAGACTTAGAACCTGTGGCCAACTGTACAGTGGCTACATATAAGGAATCATTTGTGTAATAACTATATCCCTCATTAGATTAAAAGATCCATGAGCGCTTTCATACACTATTAATGCACATATTTAGGCTTTTAATAAATATTTGTTGGATAAATGAATGAACAAATGAGTGAATAAAGTCTTCTAAGCTTCCCCTTAAATTCATTAGGCAACATACGTCGTGTTGCTTTACCTTTATCACAATAATAAAGTGAGAATTGTTAAATATAATTATGCTTTCATACAACACATACTATTTGCTGTTATTAAATATGAGGGCACTGCTCAGTTTAATACTCCTGGGTTATAGTGGTTAGAGGAAACATTCCAGGATACTGCAAAGGAAGCCTCATGATGTCCATGCTTTTGCCCAAAGTTAGAACTTTTTCATCTTGAGTTACATTCAGGACGTGATTTCTTTTGCCAAAGAAGAGCAATTCTCCCTATCATTACAGGGCAAGAAGTCAGGGCAGAACACAGAGCATCTGGCCTGAATCAGAACATTCAGATGAGAAGAGGCAGTTAGAGCCACAGCATTGCTGGAGATAAAAGGCAACACAATTTGGGGAAGCATGTAAAACAGCTTGGACAATGCAAAAGCAATCCAGACAAGACACCCCAAAGATGACGAGGGCAGTTATACCTGTCAAAGGGGTTTCTCTGGTCCTTAAGGGAGCTTAAACTAGAAGTTTATACTAGGACCCCACTATTTATCCTTTATAAGTTATTTCCTATAGTTACTCTTACATAAATTTTGGAGTAAATTATTTCTAGTTCTTATTCCAGAATGTTGTATTATTCATTTTCAACCAATCTTTCTTAATAGCTCTATAATGTCTACTTTTGCAAGAATTCTTGTAGATGTTGTAAGTTTAATTTCACCCCAAATTAAATAAGATGTCAAGTGTGTGTTTGTAATGCTAAAACCACTGATGATTTTGTGTACATTCACAAAATATATGCATTAGATGAAAAACACACAACCCTAGAAATACAGTATTTTCTGATGGTTTATTTTTAAATATTTTAAATGTATTTCTGAGATTTTTTTGTGAAGAAAATACAGTCAGAATTAACACTTTGGGAAGGGTAGTATTTCTAAATTTCTGAGAACAATGTCATTCCTTTTGGCAAGGTAGAAACATTTTATACCATATTAATCTTTACACAGAATATTAGTGTAGTCTTAAAAATAATATACTAATGCCATTAATTCAATAAAACCCAATATAAATATTTGTTATCATATCAGCACCAGTTTAACAAAGATGTTCTTTAAAGTCTCATACTTACATTGGCATCTTTCCCAGCTAATTTACACAATTCCACCCGTTCCTTTGCAGCAGGCCAATAAATCTGTAAAACATTTCAAGGTGTGTTAGAATCTGAATATCTAAAACACTACACAATTCTAATTAGGAAAGTGAGTGTGTGAAATTAAAGAGTGGCTATCAAGACAAAAGCATGCTGTTAGATAGGATGTAGGAATTTTGAGATTTAAATATTTTCCAAAGCCACCCTAAAAAAATTATAAGAAAACACTGGGCAGAATCATCCACTTGTTAATCTTCTAATTTCTTTTAAAATGTATTTAATAATAGATAAATCATGTTGAGTAGGCCATAACTTCCTATTGTGACGTCAATGGAATTTCAGGTTAGCATTTGCTTAGGTAAGAGATTCTTTTTACCCTGTTTTTCTGTGTTTTCTCGGACTGGTAGTGCATTATGGACACATGCAATGAGGTGTGAGAAACAGCTCTTTGTCACAAGCATAAATTATCACTCCAAGTCAAAGACCAGTGTGGACTTGTTGACAATATTTAACACAGATAGAGCTGAGATGCACCTGTCATTTAGTTAAACATTAAGTAAGACAATAAGCATTATCTTATTTCAATCTCACAATGACCCTATGAGATAGCTGTACTTACTCTCCCCGTTTTCAGGTCAGAAAATTTCTTCATACAGTCATTAAACAAGTCAAGGGCCATGAAGCTGGTTCGCAACAGAGCCAAAATATGACCCAAAGTCTGCCCCTTGAACTGGGAGGGTCTCAACCACTACATAATAAATATCATTTGGGCAAATGCATTAAGGACAAAGGCAGAAGGCTCCTTGATTGGTCACTTTTAATCATGCTTTATCAGTCTTGAACTTATCACAAATAGGTTTTTTGTTTTTTAACAAATTTTAGAAATTCTTCCAGGAAGGTTTTCAGAATAAGGCCCCAAACAGTTGCATTACTCCATTAGCTTACAGAAAGAAATGCTCTTTGTTAAGCTACAGACAAGAAGAAACAAGAAAGTCAAGCTCTTAGTAGCTTATATGTTCCAAGAGTTCCTGACAAACCTTTATTATGTTTCTCACCAATGTTAGCAGAAAATATTTTAATAGGTGGGGAAAAAGGAAAATATCCTGAGGGAATACACTGAAAGAGACTTGTTAAACCTGGAATGAACAAATGATTTAGAAGTCACTAATGTTTATATGATATTATCCTCATAGTGAAATTTTAGGGTTTTATGTCTCTGAATAAAGAAGAACATAGACTAGCACTTACAGTCTCTGAACAGACAAATACGATTAAATTACTGAGATTTTTAAATGAAGTAAGGTTGTTCATTTAGAGCAATTTTAACAACTACAAATTACAATCAAAGGGTGTACATAGATAGGGTCGTTGAGCACCAACAGCAGGCTCAGGTGACCAGCTAACCTGGATGTGGTTCACAATGAAGACCTAAAGATGCTATTTATAAAGAATGCTTTAAATCACTGCAATTATACTTTCACATAATTTTGAATAGTAGCCAGCAATAAAACATGAATGGACTACAGCAATGAAGAGCAATATGAATGGACCTTAGCAATTCATTATTAGGTGAAAAAAGTATATTCCCCAAAATGACAAACAGCATGATCTCCATAGAATAATGTTTAAAACAACTAAGATAAAAGACACTTCTTAGGTATATATGTAGATACAATAAATATGTAAAAAGAAAAGCAACAGAGTGATGAATACAGGACTCAGAAAGATGGTTACCCAAGACTGATAAAAAGACTATACTGGTGGTAATAAACAGGTTATTTAACAGATTTTAGCTTTTGTTCTGGATGGTGCATTTTCAAGTGTTTACTACATAATTAAAAACAACTAAGTAATGTAAGTTAGTAAATAAATCAAAATGGGCCATGCACAGGCCAAATGATAGTCGGTCATCGACCTGGAATCATGAAGTCCTAAATAAATGAATATATGAATAGCAAAAATAAAACACCGTAGCTGTCAGGAAGTTTGACAGTTTCTTCACATTGTTTTTTATTGTTTGTTTTTGTTTTTAATCACTGGTAGCAAAAATACTGAATTGAGTGTTCTTTTTTTCCCCTTAAAAATAACATCCTGAATTTATGAAAACTTTGCTTTATATTTGAACTTATGAACTCAAGGTATCCCCTCACTTTTTTTCTTGCTGATTCTTTTTTTTATTATTTTTCATTGTGGTAAAATATCCATAACATAAAATGTACCATCTTAGCCATTACAGTATTGTTAAGTATATTCATTTTGTGCAACCAATCTCAAGAATTCTTTCATCTTGCAAAACTGCAACTCTATACTTGCTGATTCTTGAATATTACAGTGATTTTACAAAGGATAACTTTGTATCATTGGAATGAAAATAAATGGTACACAGAAAGCATGTCCATGATGTGTCAACTGGTTTAGTCACTAGTTCATTTTATTTGGTCTCAAGTCTAGATTAATATTTCTTTGAATCCTTTCAATATGTCAGATCTTGTTCTTTTCTGTTTTATACTATGGCCAGATTTAGTCACATTTCAGAAATAAATTTAGAATAAATATTTGTAGATTTGTTCAGACCTGAATATTTTACTGGTGTTAGTACTATACAAAAAAAGAAAGAAAGGGAAATACAGGACTCTTTCACATGAAGTGTGACTTAAAAAGGAAAAAGAATATCACTGGGTTCTATTCTTTTACCTTTAACCAGTGTATTGGGTGATTTGAGTTGAAGTAAATTATGAGACGAATGATGTTTCTAAAATTAATTTTGAATGTATTTATAGGAGCTTCAAAACGGAGGGAGTTATTTAAAGATTGACAAAATGTGGAAGCAATCTTCTTTATCATTTTTGAAACCTAAATGGAAGTTCCAAGGTTAGCACAGAGTAGTTACTGTTCATTAACCATTTGTTCATTAGACACATAATTATGAAAGGGCTTCTGTATACCTGGCAAGGTGTGGCACTGAGGTGCTAAGATGTGAGTCAGGAAGACAGTTCTGTAAACAGATAGGGTACGTGCACTTCCATAGGAGATATAAACACTATAAGAAGAGAGCAAAGAGGATAGAGCCACTAGCCATTGTTTTAAATTACTTGCTTTTAATAGTTTCAACTCTAATGTAACAGTTTAGCTTAGCTTAATAGTTTCAACTCTAATTTTGTCTTAAAGACTTGATACTAAAATCGTAATTGCAGATTCTTTTTTCTCTTTGCAAAGGGATACAAATTTCTAAAAGATGTTTTAATGGTTTTGTTGTACATTTTCAGTTATTAATTTTAAGTCATACAACTGTAAATTAAATTGTGTCATCCTAGTAAATGAAGACATAAAAATAAAAGGACAAGCTTCCAACAATTGGGTTTTTGATTAGTGGGTAAATGTTATACGAAGATATTCAAGCACTGAGAATTTGTTGGACTCCAAAAACCAATTTAAATATATCTTCTAATGTCTGTTTACAAAGCAGATTTTTTTCCCCAAAATGTTATCTCACTTTTCATCATTCACCTTCAATCCCATAAAGTCTAAAACCTGTTAAAAACAAAAATTATCCTTGGATCATTATTGTTATAGCATAGGAATTCTAAGATAGTATCACAAAGACAATTTTACTTCTTAAGGAAACATTTAAGCCTTAAAAATAAAGTTATTGAGGTTATATACTGGCTTATTTTGACACAGTGCTGTCAAGAATTTAGGAATCACAAATAGAATTATCATAATAATAACACTGTAGGAGACATCTGATTGTCTTCCAGACTGTAAACATTTACTTAAAAGGAAAAAAAAATAAAAATCATTGTAGTTGTGCCAATATTTAAAAGCTATCATTTTAATTATGATTTATGGTGAGATTTTCTTTTACTTGCCCATTCTAGTCACCAGAATAAGGGTTTTTTTAAAAAATATTCCTTTTGATCCCTTTTGGTAAACAATGTGAAGAGATAAAATTTCACATAACTCAATCTAAAAATAAAGCAAAACAAAAAACAACCAAGATTTCCACACACTCTTATACTTACATAGGATTGGCAGAAATATGTTCAAGTAACATATTTGTTTTTCAATAATCTTTTGAAGTGACATATATAATGTGACATATATATCTCTGTCTTTATCTATCTGTATAAAAGCATTCCACCATTTCCGTATATTTCTAGTCAAACCGTGTGTACATGTGTAGATGGATACAGAGGGGAAAAAGAGTGAGAAACAAAGAGAGATAGACAGATACATAGAGGGAGAGAGAGATGTTAACTCTGATTGGGTATAGAGTATTTCATATATAGTATCAAGTTTCAGCATCGTTTACACAAAAGCCCAAGAGGTACCTGAGATCTTGAAATTATTTCAGTAGCCCCGGTAGTACACTTTGAGATTGCCTCACTCTCACACAGAAATCACACCCCACACTTAAAAATACAAAGTCCACAATATCTATAAAAGGCCCTCTTGATCATTAATTAGGTAATGGGAAAGTTTTGAGGTAGTGATTATTACTACTCTCTTTGCTTGCTGAATTTGTCAAAAGTAAGATGACATACACATTTTCTTGCACTTTGGTGCTTTGAACACACAGCATCATGCCATATTAAAAGTTCCATTAAGCAAGACAAGCAAAACACATACCACTATTTCTAAAAGTTGATGCAGCTGTATTACTTCTTTAGAAAGTTACCCACAGACATTTTTCTTTCACTTATCAAAGAGAGGCATACCAGAAGCAGAGGTGGTACTTGCATAATTGCCATGTTTTAATTGTCCTGAAACATTCCCACAGAATGCTGGTTCTTAACATTGTATGATGTACCAGATACAGCTTTTAAGCTATCATTTTGGTGGGAGTAGTCTTCAGGACTTTGGAGCCCAGACATCAAGGATATCAAATATGTACAAAGCTGCTCTCTCTACCCACATGTAGGACAGACATCAGAAATCAAACAGATCCTTTCTGTGGATCCTGATAAGCCCAAGAATTTCTCTCAACATAGTTATCTACTGTGTAACCACTAATTGATCCACTACAAAATAATTAGGGGCTGCAAATTGGTTTTAATTTGAGTGCTAATCTTAGAGATCAAGTTGGTAACAGAAAACTACATGCGAAAGAAGAGAAGTAAGTAAGTTTACAAAATGTCTCCACTTGAAGATGATAATTTATGGGTTAAAGTTTTAAAACAAGTATGTCTGATAAGTCAGTTTCCATATTCAGCAATTTACTGACTTAATCATGTTAGTATGTTTATGTTGTTTTCATAGTATTTCATAATTGAAATTGATCATTTCCAAAAAATTAATTTTTGCCTGTTACACTTGGAAGGATCAAATACTAACCTCTAATAATATATATGTAGTGCTCACTTTGGCAGCACCTATACTAAAATTGGAATGACATAGAGAAGATTAGCCTGGCCCCTGCACAAGGATGACATGCAAATTCATGAAGGGTTATATATTTTAAAAAAAAGAATGAGTAAAAATATGTACGTATCTGTTTCCTTCAGAGTTATAGAATGTAGATTACTAGTATGGAAAGAGATCACTCTGATGAAATAAACATTGTCTTCACTGTCACTTTACATAAGCTTATATGCTATAAAGTTAAATTTTAAGCACATTTTTCAAAAGAGATTTAATATTAATTTCCTTATGAAACGATAGCAGGAGCTGTATGCGTTTAAAAATACAACCTATGATCTAGTTATCTTATATTAATTTTATTTGCTTATCTCTATCCAAAATCCAAATGATTTGTTTTTTGAAGCATATTTACTTCACTTTGAAGACAAATAGGCAGGAGGAACTCACAGTAAAATGCTGCAATGTCTCTAACAATTACTGTTTCATTTATAAGTTATATAATTCATTAACAGTTATCATTTCATAACGTGAAATGGCAGGCACTTTATTTTTAATTATTTAATCTTAGGCAAGTTACAGAAACATTCAAATAATGATAAGGCCTTATAACAACATCCTAAGGAAATTCTAATTATATCTGCTCTTTGTTTCATCTTTGGAAAAGCAATTTAATTGACTCGAGTTAGCAAGTGCAAGGTCAGTCAAATGCCCTTTGGCCTAATTCAGAGATGCCAAGACGACTGAATGGAATACACAAGAGGAAGTTACAACTTGTTCATAAAACCTAAGTAAAGACAAAAACTCACAGCCTTAAAAATGCAAGTGGCCATCTCTGTCAACGAGCAGGATTCAAGTTTTTGACTGGTTGTAAAAAGGTTGGGAAAATGCTGCTTTAGATGCCATATGATACAAGGATTGGAACAACAAAGGGAGCAGTGACTACTCGAGTCTCAGTTCCAAGGACAGAGAGAGGTAGGAGATCTGAGCTCAAAGACCGAAGTACTGGGAAAAAAGGACAGGAGAGCCAGCGGTAAAGCGCGTAAAACTGAAGGCGGCTGGGGTAGAGACTGTTACAGAAGGGAAGTTTCAATTCTCAAGGTTTGCGTCTAATCGCCCACATAGCTTCGTTCATGAAGTCTTGGGTGAGAACTGTCTCTCCCTTTCCTGTTTCAGGACTCAGCCCAAAGCCTCTTTGACATTTAGCTTTCTTCCGTCAACCAGCTCCGAATTCCAGTACACTCGCGTCTACCACATCCATCTGACCCCTTCTTTTTGCAAGTAGATTTAGTTTGGGACCTTTTCCTGGCATAAAGAGCAATGAACTGCAGTGGAATTGGAAGACGTGGGTTCAAGTCTACTGCACCACTTGTTAGCAGCGAATGCTGCACTGCCAAATATCATCTTAGCATTATCCCCAGAATGAGTTTGTTCTACCTGGAATGGCAGGGGCTCAATAAATATACTGCATGAAAATGAGAAAAAAGCTACTGTATCATACAAATTAAAACGAAATTTAAGAAATCCACAAATGGGTTGGTGATTCTGAACTTGTGGTGCAATTACGCTTGTGGATAAATTTCAAAATTTTGTGAGGAATACAAGTCACAGTCTCCCTTCTCTTCTTACAGGAAGTATATGACTCATTAAAGCTGAGAAATATGACTCATTAAAACTAAGTGACAAGGGACCTTATGTTTTCTTCCTACCCTCTTTAGCACCTGGCACAGCCCACATACATAAAAAGTACTCGGAAATTATTGAAAAGTGATCTGCAAAGTTTCCTTTAAAACTAGAGACAGAGACAGAGTCCTTGTCGAGTTCCGGCAGAAGTCTGAGCAGTCTGACAACATCCTGACAGTCCATTACAGTGACCAGATGGGACCTGCACATCAGCACCCGGGCGGGGGAGCCCGCCCATCCATGAACGAGGCAATTGTTTCACCTCTGTGATTACTAGACAGCATGTGCTCCGCAGGCAATAGGAGCAGATTAATCACCGTGAAACTAAGCAGGGTGCCTTATACCAAAACTTAATTTATTGGGGAGTCCACAGGGTTTCCAAGGATTTATATTTTCTTTATTGCAAGTATTAACTAAGAATAAAGAGTGGCAATTTTCTTTTGTCAACCATGACTTGATTTCAAATGAGAATTTATTTATTCTCAGTCTTTTCGCCTAAATAATAGGCTTCCAGGGTCACGCGTTAGATGAGAACGTCTTATGCAGCCATGAAGTGAGTTAATGAACTAGAGTCCGAAGGTCATTCTGATTTATAAAAGCATTTCTGCTTATACTCAATATAAAGCAAGCAAGTACAGGATCCCCGTGTATGAAAACCCTCGTTTTAGACTTCCTTAAGGAAAGGGAAATAACAAAGTCCTTTTCATGCTACACAAAAAAAGGGTGTTTAAATATGCCACTGAAAATTATTATAGTTAAAATTATAAACTCATTTCGATTAGTGATTATTCTAATAACAATGATTAAAATAGGAGACCATTTTGATGAATTTCAAGTAAACTGACTAATTTTTATAATTACGTACCTCATTTTCATGTTAAATAAGGAGAAAAATAATACAAAATTACATTACAATTGCTGGGAAGAAGGAAAAAGAAACGTTAATAGAGTCATTCCATGTTTATAAATGTGACAATCTGCTCAAAAAGAAAGTCAATCTTCTTAAGAGTGTCTGAGTTCTAGCTTTTAAGTGTTTTAAGTTTACCAATGTTTCCTTTTAAATAGTTCTGATTGGTTTTTGGTTAATAAACAAAAGAATTAAAGTTCTTAAACGTGAGGACCTAAATTTTATTAGCAAGGTGAAATGAAATTATCTCAAGTTATTCCATAAAAATATGGAGTTCTCTTTTAGGTAGGTTATACATTTACATTGCTTTGATACATTGCTTTCTCATTTTAAAACCCATGGGAAAACTTCCTTGTTTTTCTGCCAGAAACATATTTAGTGCTTTTTACCTTAAAAACAAACATCAATTACATTAAACATAAAAATTTTAAGTATTATACTGCTTTTGCCTTCAACACTGTAAATTTAGCTAATAGGTTTTTGTTGGGGCCTGGTTAATAATCTTCACCTTTGTTTAGTTAACATGACAATTCTTTGAACATTTTATGTAAAACATTTAATTTTCACACATATCAGTTTCAAGAGAAAATATTTTTAATTAAATAAAAATAAAAAAGAGGGGCTTCCCTGGTGGCGCAGTGGTTGAGAGTCCCCCTGCCGATGCAGGGGACGCGGGTTCGTGCCCCGGTCTGGAAAGATCCCACATGCCGCGGAGCGGCTGGGCCCGTGAGCCATGGCCGCTGAGCCTGCGTGTCCGAAGCCTGTGCTCCGCAACGGCAGAGGCCACAACAGTGAGAGGCCCGCGTACCGCAAAAAAATAAATAAATAAAAATAAAAAAGATAAGTATTGTCTCAAAATGAAAGTAAACTATTTGAAGACTAATTGTTAGATTATTTAAAAATGGATCACTGCATGTCCTACACTCTCATTTATTAGATTCTCGGTTATGGCTTAGCTTTGCTAGAACCCAACAGAAATAATACTATTGAAAAACATGGGAAACAAGATGTAAAACAGCAAATGTTTTGAATATGGCTATTAATATCCAAAATGCAAATAATACTAATAAGGATACTGACATTCCCCATTTGGTTACTCCTATGATTCTAGCGTGTATACATCAGGAATGATATACAATGAGCTTGCCTGTTATATTTGGAAGTAAAGCAAAATTCTTTTGAGAGCTCATTTTATGGCTTAGACAGTAGAGCAAGATGTTAAAAAAAGAAATTTTAGCTGAGAAAAAATTTAAAATGAGATGCTAGCTGAGGATGCAAAAATCTTCAAAGTAGGTGGCCAAGAATCATTTAGATGATTTCACCCATGTTCAAGCTATACAATAGTTGGACACTGGAACTTACAAAGTTTTTTCCTTTCCCTTGAGAAGGATATTTTGTCTGAGACAGTTGTGTCATGTGTCTTACAAGCCCCAGGGTGAGAAGCAGGTGCCAGGGAAGGGGCTTCGATGGGACCTCGAGAAGCACTTACTGTTGAACATGCCATTTGTGGGACATTGTGGACAAATGTCTAAAGGGTGAGAGAGACTGACAGGTTTCAGTGGACACAGAGGCCAGGCTCAGTGGCTATACTGATATCAACCTGAACTTCTAGAGTGTGCCAGGAAAATACACAAGACAGCTTCCTATGGAACAGATGGGAGACATGGTCATGCAAAAATTTGATGGCATGAGGTCACCTTAGGTCCTGTTCAAGAAGGCTGAGTGAAAAGACTTCAGAAGTTAACACCTGGTGGAACTGCAACCTGTCTCAGATAAAGAATGAGGACACACCAGTCAGAGGAGAAATGCAGTCACGCTTATCCAGAAAACTGCAAGGGAAAGAAGTCCAGAAAGAGGAAATTCCAGAAACTCACAGAGGGACCAATGAAAGAAAAGTCACCCTTCTTTAAACATCTGACAAGACCAGAAAGTTGAGAAGTGAGGTCCCTCTGACAATGGCAAAAGACATTTTCCTGAACCCCTCTCCTCTTCTCTTCTCCTGATACGACACCATAGGGTCAGACACTGACTGTAACAGCTTAGAGAAGAGAAGGAACGCAGTCAGGGTCAGGAGAGAAGAAGCCTCTGAACAACTCCCTTCTCAGGAACCTGCCCTCCCTCCCATGGCGTGCCCAAATGCAGACAGGTAGAGCGAGCGAAGGTTCAATTTTAAATGAGGTTGGACACTCTGTTACATTAGACTGGACCTTTTAATTGCTGGAAAACAACTGTCTGTACTCTCTAAGAGTGACCTTGAAAGCCATGGGGTCTGCTGGAGTCATCAAACAGGTCCAGGGAGAAGACCCAGTCCCACAGAGCAGATTGAAAGGGACTGTGGGAGGTAAAATAAAGTTGTTTATTATTATACCCCATGAGTTGACATAACGGTTGCTGCTGGATTAGTAGGTAAAATAAATAACAACTGTAGTCTCAGAATAAGTTTAATTCTCACTGGTCTACTCATCTGTCTCTATAACCCACTTGAAAAACAAGAGAAGACAGAAGAAAGAAA